ACGAGTTTTCTGGAAATTGAACGACCTAAACAAAACTAAGATGAACACATGCTTCAAACAAGAAGAAAGAAGAAGAAGACAGATGCGGATAGCAAAACAAAAATAAAAATGGAAAAAGAAAAACAAGCATACCTCCCCAATCCTCCTTGAACAAAGCTTCGATGCATCTTTGAATTTGTGGCCGGAATAAGTCTCAATCGTGTGTTCTCAAATGAGAACACACAACTGAGATCGATTCCAACCACGAAACTTCTAAACCCTCGCTGACTGGACTATTTGGAAATTTAGGTCATCCCTTCAAACCCAGATTCGAACAATCCTACTAAGATTCGAGGCTAATGGGTCATAGATTAAGGAAGAGGGGGTGAGGGGGGTTCCATGGTGTTGTTTTGGTATGGTTTAGGGTAGATTGGGGTCAGCGCCGCCGGACACGGCGGAGGCGGCGCTAGGGTTTCTAAAATTCGAGACATTCCGGTAAGATTTGAGAAAAAATGGTTGAAGATTTGGGATTGGGTGGAGGAGGGGATGCTATGGTGAAGATTTGGTGGCGATTGAACGCCGGCCGCCGCCGTAGACGATTTCCGGCGGGCGGCGGGCAGTGGCTTAGGGCGGAGGGGGCTTTTCTCTGAAAGAGGTGAGTGTGGGTGAGGGAGACGGGGCCTGAGGGGGTTCTGAAGGGGGGGGGGTGGGTTGATTTGGACACTTAAATATTAAGTGACCCAGGCTTCCCAACCGTCCGATCATCAAACCTCGACGACCAGGATTAATCCTAGCCAAAACTACGTCGTTTGGGGTATTGGGGCTGGACCGGATCGGGTAAGGGGTGGAACTGGGCCGGTTCGTTGGGTATTTGGGGTTGGATTTCATTTGGGCTAAACCATTTTGGCCCAAGTTGCACACCAGCCTATTTAATCTTTCAAATTCTCAATTTATTTGTTTTTTCTTCTTTTCTTTTTGTATTTTATTTATTTATTTTTTATATATTCTTTTATTTTTTCTGATTTTTTATGAAATGCTAAATTAAAAACCAAAACCAAATTGAGCCTAAAATTATATCTCTTAAATTCCAATTACACAAATTAAGGCAAATTAAAAGTAAAAATGCAAAAGACCATTTTTTTATTTTCTTTGCTTTTCCCTTCACTATTAATTAATCCTAAGATATGAAACTAAATCCTAAACGAATGCCAAGTATTTTTTGTATTTTTTTTCATGATTTAAACAATAATAAACGTGCACAAACAAATGCAAACAATTAACAAGAAATGCCACCAAAATCCATCAATTGCAAATAATGAAAATGAGTTGTTTTGTTTTGAATTTATGGGAGTAATTCATATAGGGCAAAAATCACGTGCTCACAATGCTTACATTACTTGAGCAACGGGGATTCTTCACCGGGGCTCCAAGTCAAAATGCCTACAAGCATCTCATAGGGTTCGCCGATACTTGTTGGGGGAGCAAGCAAACCAATGTCTCAGAAGATACGATGTGGTTGAGGTTATTTACCTTTTCTCTACGGGGACAACAAGCTCAAGGACAAAATCAACAACAATGGAGGTCACAAGGGAACCAAGGTAATTGGAACAACCAAAACCACCAAGGCAATTGGAGTGGTGGCAATCCTAATCAAGGCAATTAGAACAATCAAGGAATCAAGGCAATTGGGGTAATCAAGGCAATTGTGGTGGCAACAATCAAAGCAATTGTGGAGGAAATAACCAAGGAGGGTGGAACAACAACAACAACTGGGGATCGGGTTTTCAAAGGCCCTCGATGTTCCAACAACCAAGCAATCCACCTCCCTATCCTTCTTAAGGCCCAAGTTCTTCATCCAATGAGATGGGTAGAATTGAAAAAAATGCTTAAATAGATGATGGAGAAGAATGCCGACTCCAATGCTCAAATAGCCTCGCACAACACTTTTATTCGGAATTTGGAGATTCAATTAGGCAAGATCTCACAAGCATTGAACACTCGTCCTAAGGGGGCACGACCTAGTGATGCGGTGGTGAACCCGAAGGGTGGGAATAATATGGGACATAGTATGGCCATGACTACTAGAAGTGGAAAAGGTGGAGATGCTACCATCTCAAATCAAAAAAAGGATTGTGGAAGAAGATGTTGTGGTTCGAGAAGATGAAATCCCAAGCAATATGGTTCAAGCTAATGAAGAGGTGAGAATTAATATAGATGAATGTGTCGATGAGATGCAAGAAGAGGTGAACCCGTCTAGGGAACACGTGATTGAATCGGTAGTGCCAAAGGCTAAGGAATCAACGCCAAGGCCTCCTCCTCCATACCCTCAAAGGCTTGCAAAGCAAAATAGTGAGAACGAATTCAAAAAGTTTATTGATATGATGAAAATTTTGTCAATTAATGTGTTGTTGGTTGAGGCATTGGAACAAATGCCGGGATATGCAAAATTCATGAAAGATTTGGTAACCAAAATAAGATCAATGAATTGTGAGACCGTCAAGATGACTCATCAAGTGAGTGCTATTGTGCACTCAATGGCGTCTAAGTTGGAAGATCCGGGCGCTTTCACAATCCTTGCACTATTAGGAGCGCCGATTTTGCCAAAGCACTATGTGATCTCCGGGCAAGTATCAACTTGATGACCTATTCGGTGTTTGGGAATTGGGCAACCAAGAACCACATCCATGAGGCTCCAAATAACGGATCAAATAATGAAGAGGCCTTTGGGTATTATTTTTGATGTATTGGTTCGAGTTGACAAGTTCATCCTCCCAGCAGACTTTGTGATCCTTGATTGTGAAGTGGACTATGAGGTGCCTATTATTTTGGGTAGACCTTTCCTTGCTACGGGGAAGGCTCTTGTTGATTTGGAAGCCGGTGAGCTCACTTTTCGGGTGGGTGATGAAATGGTGGTCTTCCATGTGTGCAAATAAATAAGGCATCGAATAGCAATGATGTTTTTTCATTCGTTGATTTGGTGACGGATGCGATTGTTGATGATGCTAGTGCCACAATAAACGTTGAAGACAAATTGGAGGCCGTATTGCTTAACCTTGACGAGGATAAAGAGAGTGATGGCTATGTGGAGTGTGTAAATGCATTGCAAGGCATGGGGTCTTACACTTATGAGCCCCGAAAGCTATCTTTGGATCTTGAATATCGGAAGACTCCTCCAACAAAGCCCTCAATTGAGGAGCCTCCTACCTTGGAGCTAAATCCATTACCCCCGCACCTAAGGTATGAATTCCTTGGCCCTTCTTCTATTTTACCAGTTATCCTTTCTTCTTGCTTAACTAACATGCAGGTAGAGTCCACATTGGAGGTGCTACAAAGGAGGAAAAGAGAAATCGGATGGACTTTGGTGGATATCTGGGGCATAAGCCCCGCCTTTTGCATGCACAAGATTATTTTGGAGGAGGGTGCTAAATGAAGCAATGCAAGAGGTGGTCATGGAGATCATAAAGTGGTTGGATGCGGGGGTTGTGTACCCCATTTCCGATAGTTCATGGACTTCTCCGGTGCAATGTGTCCCAAAGAAAGGGGGAATGACTGTGGTTACCAATGACAAGAACGAGTTGATTCCTACAAGGACAGTGACCGGTTGGAGGGTGTGTATGGACTATCTCAAGCTCAACAAAGTTACAGGAAAAGATCATTTCCTACTTCCCTTCCTTGATCAAATGCTTGATAGGTTGGCGGGGTGTTCTTTATATTGTTTCCTCGATGGGTATTCCGGCTACAATCAAATTCTCATTGCTCCGGAGGATCAAGAAAAGACTGCCTTCAATTGTCCCTATTGAACTTTTGCATTCTCACGGATGCCTTGGTTTATGTAATGCACCGGCGACTTTTCAATGGCGTATGATGGCCATTTTTACCGACATGGTGGAGGATACTTGAGATCTTCATAGATGATTTCTCCGTGGTTCGAAACTCTTTTGGTGATTGCTTGCACAATTTGGATAGGGTCTTGGCTAGATGTGAGGAGACTAATTTGGTGTTGAATTGGGAGAAGTGTTACTTCATGGTTGCGGAAGGCATTGTCCTCGGCCACAAAATTTCAAAGCATGGTATTGAGGTTGATAAGGCCAAGATTGAGGTGATCTCCAAACTCCCTCCCCCTGCATCCGTGAAGGGAGTGAGGAGCTTCTTGGGACATGCGGGTTTCTATCGTCGTTTCATCAAGGATTTTTCCAAGGTGGTAAACCCACCGTGCAAACTTTTGGAGAAGGATGCCAAGTTCCAATTCAATAAAGATTGTATGAAGGCATTCGAGTTGCTTAAGTTCAAGTTGACTACTACTACTATTATTACCGCACCGTATTGGAGCTTGCCTTTTGAGCTCATGTATGATGCTAGTGATGTTGCAATTGGATCGGTGTTGGGTCAATGAATCAACAAAATATTCCATCCGGTCTACTATGATAGTAAGACCATGAATGATGCCAAAGTCAACTACATAGTGACTGAAAAGGAGCTACTTGCTATTGTCTTTGCTATGGAGAAGTTCTGGCCGTATTTGACGAGTAAGAAAGATTCTAAGGCAAGGTTGATGCGGTGTGTGCTTCTATTGCAAGAGTTTGATCTAGAAATTCAAGACTGCAAGGGTAGTGAAAACCAAGTGGCTGACACTTGTCCCGATTGGAGGAGGAGGGGAGGCCACATGACATCCTTGAGATCAATGATTCATTTCCCGCGCGATCAACTCCTAGCCGTTTCAATGACCGAGATACCATGGTTTGCCGATTTAGCCAACTATCTTGTGAGCGACATTATCCCGAAAGAGTTCTCTTCAAACCAAGGGAAGAAGATCAAACGAGATAGCCTTGATTATTATTGGGATGACCCGTATCTCTTTCGGATATGTATCGATGGTGTGATCCGGCGATGTGTGCCGGAAGAAGAACGAGTGGGTATTCTTGAGGCTTGCCACTCTTCACCGTATGGTGGTCACCATGGTGGAGCAATAACGGCAACAAAAGGGCGCATGATTAGCCAAGGGAGGCTAACGTGCACCAACGATGGCAAGGAGACGCAAACCAGTAACGCCGACGACTGAGGGCACAACTCCGGTGAACTCAACAATGCAAAATTTCACTCTATTAACGTTTGGAAGCTTTCTACCACCTAAATTCCAACTAATTCTGGAAGAAAAGGAGCTAAGTGAGGACGAAGAAGGAAATAGTATGCAATGGAACAGTAAAATTGCTGTGACTGCAAAGGAAGCTCAGAAATCTAAGGAACAACTGCCAACCAGTCCAAAACGACTTCAATTCTCTGAGGGGGGATCTTCACAGCCATCCCCAGATCTAGAACTAACAGATAAGACAGAGATGGCAAAGGAGCTGAGGAAGCAAAATCGGAACTCTCAGATGGGAATGAAGCTGGAGTACATTCAGCCATGCCATAGAGATGGTAAGATTGTCATTCAAATTGAGGAAAACGATGTAAATGAGCTACAGGAACATTGGGCAACTGCTTTAATTGGATATGTACTTGGGGACACTCTATATGAGAAATCTATGGAGAGTTATGCTGAATCAGTCTGGGATTTTGTTACTAAACCTCAGATCTTGTATCATCAAGATGGATATTATGTGTTTCGATTCACAACGATGGAGGATAGAGATGCAGTTATGCAAGCTGGTCCCTATTCATACCATAATAAACCATTTATCTTACAGAACTGGGAGAGAGATTTTTACTTTGATCCCAAATGCATTACTACTATCCCCTTGTGGATTCACTTACCTAGTTTATCAGCTGGATACTGGACTGCTGATGCACTAAGCAAGGTGGCAAGTGCAGTTGGATTACCATTGTATACAGATAAGTTCACAGCTAAATTGAACAAAATCTCCTATGCTCGGGTGCTGGTGAAAGTTGATATTACAAAGCCATTAGTGGAGGAGATTGAGATAGTTACCCCCACTGAAACCAGACAATAGGAGATAGTGTATGAATGGAGGCCAAAGTTCTGCAATGATTGCTTACACTTTGGTCATGACAGTTTTGAATGCTGGAACTCAACTAAACAGAAGGAGGATGCAGAATTCAAGGTTCCAAAAAGAAGAAATAGGGGCAGGGGAAGGAAAGTCATTTAGGAATGGAAGCCTAAACCACAGCAGGGACAGGAGGAGGGACAAGAAGAGGAAAATAAAACATATCCTCCAGCTACCAAAGATAGGCAGAGTTCAGAAGATGAGCCACAAAAAAGTATGATGATACAAAGAAAGGACAAAACTGAAAGACAGACTATAGCAGAAAAACAGGTGAGAAATGATGAAGCTAGTACTTCCAACAGATTTACAATTTTGGAAGAATGTAGTGTACAAGGAGGGGTGAGCAACTCTGATCCTATACATAAACCACCATGATAATTTGTACTTGGAATATAAGGGGGCTGAACAAGCCCCATAAGCAGAAGGAACTGAGAATCTTTCTGCAAAAGAATAAGATTGATATCCTTGGATGTCTAGAAACTAGAGTAAAAGAAAAAAAGGCAAAAAATATTCTGTATAAGGTAGCAAAGGACTGGGGTTACTGCTATAACTACACTGAAGCTGAGAATGGAAGAATATGGCTAGTTTGGAGAACAAATTTAACAGTAAACATAATCCAAGTTCATGAACAATTCATCCACTGCCTAGTGATGGACACTATGACTGGATATAGGATTTTGCTTACTGTAGTGTATGCCAGGAACAAACAGCATGAGAGGGATAGACTATGGAATGATGTACAACAGTTAGGGGGACAAGTACAAATGCCTTGGCTCATAAGTGGTGACTTCAACAATGTCCTAACCACTGATGATAGGTTCGGGCAACCAGTCACTATGAATGAAGTACAGGAATTTAAGGAGTGTATGGACAATATGCAAATGACCCCACTGAGAACAAAGGGTTGTTTCTTTACTTGGTGTAACAAGCAAAGTGCAGATGATAGAGTGTATAGTAAGATAGATTGGGCATTTGGGAATTTTGAATGGACTAAAGTGTATGGGCATGTGGAAGTTGATTGTTTGGAGCCTGGGGTATCTGATCACTCACCTTTAGTGATCCAAATATGGGAAAGAAGGAGTTTGCACCCCAAACCATTCAAACTGTATATGGTAACTATGGAGCATAAGGATTTTAAACCTGCTGTAGAAAGGATTTGGAAGCAGAAGATGGGGAATGATCCTATGGCTGGTATATGGCTGAAGTTACAAAAACTGAAAGGAGAGACTAGAAGCTTGAACAAGGAGATGGCAAGATATACTCAGAGATTGACCCAAATCAGACAGAAGCTGGAATGTACACAGGCAAACCTGATATTGGATCCCTTTAATCAGGTTTGGATAGATCAGGAAAAGCAAACTCTCCAGGATCTAGAAAAGTGGAGTACTATAGAGGAAAGAATCCTATGACAGAAGGCTAGAGTAAATTGGATTGACTATGGGGACTCAAATTCCAAATACTTCTATGCATAGCTGAAGATCAGAGCCAGCAATAATACCATTACTTCTGTATACAATGAAATGGGAGCTAAAATCACTGACCCTAAAGCTGTAGAGGAGGAATTCATATGCTTCTTCAAACAACTTATGGGGAAAGAGACTGGTCTAAAGCCATGCCCAAATACTAAAGTCATCAAAGATGGAAACTGCCTCTCATTGCAACAACAGCAGGATCTAATTCAGGAAATCACATATGCAGAAATTGATGAAGCAGTGAAAGACATACCAAATGATAAAGCCCCTAGAGTTGATGGCTTCCCAATAGAATTCTTTACAAAACATTGGCAGGAAATCAGACAGGATATATATGATGCTGTGAAATTCTTCTTCCAAATAGGCAAGATGAAACCAGCATGGAACTGTACTGCTATAACCTTGATCCTAAAAGTGCCAGCTCCTACAACAGTGAAAGACTACGGACCCATTGCTTGCTGCACTACTGTGTACAAAATTGTAGCAAAGATTCTGACTAAAAGAATTAAAAGGGTGATTGAATCCATAATAGGGAAAGCACAGTCTGCTTTTATTGAAGGGAGAAGTATTATTGATAATATCCTATTTAGTCATGAACTCTTCAATGGCTATAATATGAAAGGTTTGTCTCCTAGATGTGTGCTCAAAGTTGACCTAAGGAAAGCCTATGATTCCTTAGACTGGCAGTTCCTCAAATACATGCTTGCTGACCTTGGCTTCCCCCAGAAATTCATTCTATGGATAATGGAATGTGTGACAACAGTGTCCTATTCCTTGGTACTAAATGGAGGATTGACCAAACCTTTCCCAGCTAAGAGAGGAATAAGACAAGGAGATCCAATGTCCCCTTACCTTTTTGTGATTGCCATGGAATATCTACAAAGGGAGATGAAACAACTGGAAACTCAAAAGGAATTCAAGTTCCATCCAAAGTGCAAGAAGCTGGGAGCAACTCATATATGTTTTGCTGACGATTTGTTAATGTTTTGCAGGGGTGATGTTAACTCAATTACTAAAATTCAGGAGGCTTTCAATAAATTTTCAGCTGCTTCTGGATTGCAAGCAAATGCAGAAAAAAGCTCAATATATTTTACTGGAGTGGCACAGCACATAAAGGAACACTTGCTAGAACATACTGGATATACAGAAGGGTCCTTACCCTTTAAGTATCTGGGAGTGCCAATGTCGACAAGGAAGCTGAACATCCATCAATGTTTGCCACTGGTAGAAAGGATCACTGAAAGAGTAAGATGCTGGTCAGCTAGATTGCTTTCATACTCAGGAAGACTCCAGTTGATCAAGTCTGTGTTGTTTGGTATACAAACATATTGGGCTCAAATTTTCTTATTGCCAAAGAAGATCATGAAAATGATAGAAGCAATCTGTAGAACTTTTCTGTGGACTGGCTCAACAGAATGCTCAAGGAAAGCTTTGATTGCATGGGACAGACTATGTCAACCTAAAGCTGCAGGAGGTCTTAATATTATAAACATGGGACTATGGAATAAAGCAGCACTGATGAAGCACTTTTGGGCATTGGCTATGAAAAAGGATGTAATGTGGATCAAATGGGCCCATACTTATTATATAAAGAATAGGGATATTGTGGAAATGGAAGTACCCAAAGCAGCAGCTTGGGTGATTAGGAAAATTATTGAGGCAAGAGAGGATGTGAAGCAGATGAAACTGGGACAGCATATTACAGCCACATTGGAGACACTAACAAGACAGGGCAAATTTCAAATTCACAAAGCTTATGTTCAGATGCAGCCTACATTGCCAAAAGTTATGTGGAAAAGTCTCCATTCATCCTAGATTCAAATTCCACCTGTGGCTGGCTATTCATTAAAGGTTAGCAACAGTGGACAGGCTCATGACTTTTGGAATACAAGTTCCACTAGACTGTGTGTTCTGTTCAGCTAGCATGGAAGATTTTGATCACTTGTATTTTGGTTGTCCAAAAACAAATAGCTTATGGTACAGAATGTTGAGATGGCTTGGATTCATAAGGCAAATAGGAAGCTGGCAGAATGAGATACTGTGGATCAGCAATCAGTCAAGAAGCAAAAACTGGAAAGCAGAAGTAACTACAGCAACATTTGCGATGGTTGTCTATTGCATTTGGCGCGAAAGGAATTTGATTAGATTCAACAAAGGCAGATACAATATAGATGAAGTATGCAAGGAAATGGCTATACACATACACATTCACGGGAGGAAAAAAGCAAAATGGCAAAAGAAATTGGAGAGCTTAAACAATCTTCCTTAGAATAGTTAGTATATATGACATAGTGTTAGTCGAAAGTACATGTAAATAGACATAGGAGATTAATGGTCAGCATTAATCTGGATGTGTAATGACAAGTTTTGATGAAATAAAATGTTAGTTTATCATAAAAAAAAAAAAAAAAAAGTCATGCCACTTAGAGTTGCCTACTGAACATTGAAGATAACTGTAAAACTTCACATGATTTCCCTTTGATGAGCGGATAAACAGTCGATAAGTGTTCCTTTCTATTCTTTTTCCAAATAAAAGT